CTGTGCCTACTTGCTGTGCTATGCTCTTGGAACATCGTGTGCAGCCATAGAGCAAAGAAAAACTTTAGGATCTTACCTAGCATCCACAAGGCAACCTTTAATAACCTATTAATGTGATAGAGTTAGAGAGCCCATTTTGCAGAATTTCGATGGTGGCGTTTGTGTCGGCGATGTTGGTTGTATACTGATAAATGTATTTGAATAGGCGTATACGCGATGCGTGTGTGCACATAGACATATGAATGAACCATCAAATGAATGAAAACTCGAAGAGTTAATCAGATCGCCACATTCGGTTTACTCCCCTGGGCTGACAGCGAAAAGAAAGGGAGGATAAGGAAAGAGAGTAAGCAATTAAAACATCCCCAAAGGGTCCTCAAGCTATAAATCAATGAATAAACTATAAATAATATTCGGTGTTTTATGCTACACAACCTAGATATAGTTATGAGAGGCGCCGCACTGAAGGGCTCCGGAAATCTCAACCGTATGGTGTTCTCGAACGTGCACTGACATCGCACAGTATACGAGCCTCAACCACTTCTCCTCCATCGAAATGCGACCGCCATGGCTGCGATCGACCCTGTGACGTCTGGGTCAGCAGCCGAGCACTGTAGTTACTATTCCACCTAGGCGGACAGAACGAATGAATGAATGAGTGAATCTAATTACCAAAGCACCCAATAGAACTAGCTGCAGCCCATTAATATTTTTTCCGAATAGTGTCCTCTGATGCTTAACCTTATGTTGCAAAAATTGCCAGAATGACCTGCAGAGAAGTGCTCTTATTGTCCCCAACATTACTTCTGATTTTGGAGCCATTGCCTACACTCTCCAAACCATGCAGCGCGAGAGAACAAACCATACGGGCTATGCCGTGCCGCCCCGGCTATTTGATTAGCTAGCTGAACAATGGTGCCTAATGAAAGAAATTCGATGAGAAATATGGCGACGCCGGCCACAGGCCAAATTTTATAATGCCCTCACGCATGTTGGAGTAAAGATTAAAAGCTGCAGCAAATAGCAGTTCCAAGCCGGCGCCGCTGCAAAGAAGACTACAGTTTAATGGCGACAAATGAACGTAAATGTATATTCCAGCCAGCCACCGCCATCTTTCGAAGCATATAAAGCAGAAAGTGTGCTCCCACGAGCCCAATTAGCTTGGTCCTTTTACAAGACTTCGTCATTCGAAACACAAGAAGGGCGTAGGCGGCGGGAGAGTTGAGGAGAGCGCGAAGAATGAGTGGGCTAAAAACACTCAGCTGCTGGACGGTGAAGGAAAAGGCCAGAACAGCCATTTGCACGCTGCTCTTCGAGATAAATGCAGCGATGTGCGAAGCTACCATGAAAGCATGATGCATTCTGGGTCAGGCATGCCGAATAATGCGACAAGGAATTCGTGGAACTTCCTCCCGATGCAGGACATGCTGCAATCCTCGACAAACATTTAAAATCAATTTATACATACGTATTACTTTGAGTATCCCAAAATGTTCAGCGCAGCTAACAACACCATTCTGTCTACACTGGAACACTCTGACATTCATTATTTGTACTTTGCAGTTGAGCATAAATTGAGGCAGCATAATGTAGACTGCTAACACAGTTCTAGTTGCTTATCTTTCAATACACACTCCACGGACGCAAACGATCCAACACAGCGTCACAGTACGTACAACGTTAAAAAATCACGAGCCGAGAGTGAATGGTATACGATCACTAACATGACTCCACATCAAGCCTGAATGCTGTACAACCAACTACGTTTTCTATTAAGCACCTAAGATGCCATTAAGAACCTTGGAACCACCCACTCACTAAATGTGAAAACGCATGTACATAACGCCCCCCCCCCCCCCTATCATCGTCGGCAATGAAATGGGAAAGTTTCAATACTGAGAATAAAGAGCCTACAAATCCACTATAGCAGCGTGATTAACATGTTACCAGCCACGAATGAACCACAAAGAGCCTCGAAGAAACGCCAGATAAAATTGTTGCTTAGCTGCCATGAACCAAATGGCAAACGCCGAAGCTACAACGAAAGAAGCACATCCGCACACGGCTATTCATGATTGGTTGATTGCCGTCTAGCCTTCACGGCGCTGCACCGCATTATCCCTACCAATCATAAAAGGAGAACACTTTGACCTCTGGGCAATCGGTCCCTAACGATCCTTAGCTCCGCGCGACGATGCTGCAGTCAAGGTGGAGAGGACGGCTGTAAAAGACAGAGAGGCGCTCGTGGGTATACCGGCAACCAAGAAACACCACCGACGAAGAAGTGCTATGGTTTATGCATTGTAGAGAAGCACAGCAAAAGAAGAGAGAAATGATCTGTAGACGCCAAGAAAGACTGTCCAGAAACGACACAAGGCTGGTCCATTGAGGAGGCACAGACTGGAATGCGACGAGAGCACCGTAACTCCATCAACAAACATGGCGTCAGCGTCTCTTTCTTTCTCTCTCTGTTCTTTTTTTCCACATCCCAGAGCGCCCACCACAGGAATGAAACAAATGTGCCACGACCATTTCGTATAGACCCATTGTTTGTTCACAAAAGCGTGTCTATACAAGACCACGCGAATGAAGAAACAGGCACAATCGCTGCCGTCGATGGTGATCAATCATTGCAAGACACGGTCGTTAATCAGTGTTCCAACTTCAAGATAGGAAGGCGCGCTCACACTGTTTGAACCCGTTAGCATCACTTTACACTTTTGTAGTTACACAATATAATGTCTTTTTTTCTGTCCTGACGGAACAGTGGGGCTGTCCCCAAGGATAAAAAATGAAGTACTGAAGACGCCATTTTAAGCTTGAGCTACAGGTTATCTTTAATCTATGTCTTTCCACGAATTCAAGAAGGAGGAAAAATAAGCACAAGGGTTAGTTTTGAACTGGCTGGCTACCTTGTGCCGGAGAAAGTGGATAAGTAGAATTAAAGATAAATAGAAAAAATGTGTCAAAAAAAAAAGGATGGCACAGCAAAAAGAAAGGAAAAAAAGGAGTACGACACTGTTTCAAGTCTGTCTCTAATAACAAAATATAATTGTTGGGGTTTAACATCAGAGAATCACCATCTGTTTATGAGAGACTCTGCAGTGGAGGGCTCCGGGTATCAATCAGATATAATCCAGGTTCAATCAGATCTAATCTAATCCACGTGCTAAATAGTGGAGTCAGTAAATATAGCAGTTCAGATCGATCCAATTCAATTCAATCCAATACACATCCTAAGCAGCATGGGCTACAGCCATTGTAGTAAACTAGATGATACTCCAGTGGCAGAACCGGCCAGTCTCTAGTGTCCTCATTTTGCACGGATGCCGCAAGATGGCACCACTTCTACGTTTCCTAGCTGCTTTGACTGCGATGTCGGAAAATATCAGGCTCCTTCAAACTTTCATCTGTGGTTACTTTAACTGGTGTGCTTGCTTCGTGGTTCTTCTGAACATCAAACAGCTGACTTGCTCACTGCCTGGCTCGGGGGTTTTATTTTGGGCAGATATTCATATTTTTTCACATTTACTGCATGCACCCAGAACATTCCGAGTGTGTCTGGTAAATATGGTGCGCCTGATTTTTTTTTTACCACTCGAGGGTTTGTTTCCAGTGCACCGAGTTTTCCAAGCAGACGTGGCAGGTCATAGAATTCGCTTTTAATCATTATGGAAAACCTGGAGAGGTCAGGGATCGAAATATCGAATTCATAGACATCCTGGTTCATATAATTGCTATTGTAATAAAAAATACATAGTCGTAGCAAGCATCTCTAGGCAGGCTGATGTTCATGTCACTAGAAATACTAATCGGACTGTGGAAGGGTACAGTAGGGCCAATAACACTTTCCATCAGAGAGACAAAATCATTAATACATGAGTTCGGGGGGAGCTGTAAACCAAACCTGTAAAAGTGCCATTTTCAAGGTTCACAAATGGGCTTTCAGCGCTTGCACAGCTGTAGGAACAGTCAGGTAGGTATTGGAAGCTCATCTTGTCTCGTATAGAAAGCCCCACAGTGCCACCACGCGCTATACTTTCTCTTGGTTGCGATAGTATCGTATAACCAGGTAGTTTTATCTTTTCTCCCTTTCTAAGCCATGTTTTAGATATCGCGATGATGTTGTAGGAAAGTAAATGTTGAGATATGTAGCTTAAGAGCAAGTCTAGGTTTATTCACCACAGGTTGCAGTGAATCAGGGATAAGAAATCATATCCTTGGTGTGCTGCTTCAAACTGTGCGAAATCCCCAAAAGAATTTCGTTATAGCGAAAAATTCGTTTTATGGGGGTTCATTAGAAGCAGGTTCAACTGTATTAACTTAACAGTAGATGTAAGCATCCCCGCAATCGTAACTCAAAGAGTAGCACATTGTTGGTATAGGTGAGTGCTGTAGACGCAGTTGTGCTTCACAGGGTGGCATGTGTCCTATGTGGTAGCCAGGATGCAAAAATATTTCATGTAGTCTGTGAGGGCAGTAGCGTTGTTCTGCTGACTGGATACTGGCACTGCTTGCTGCACTGGTCTACAGGACAGATGAAGAATGCAATATGCTTGAATTGGTGGAGGGCCGAGAGGAGTACTACAGTGGACATGAATGTCTCTCTTGCTTTTTTTTTTGTTTTGTGTGTTTTTGCTGTAGTTTTCTTTTTGTACTATATTTGACCATACTAGCTTTTGCTTGCAAAAATATGGGAACCCATCTCAAAGGGAGAGACTAACCACTAGCGTCATGATTATGAGCATCGGCAGTTTTCTTTTATGCTCAATGGACTACTTATGCAGGAAAAGACAGCACATGATGAAAACTACATGCAAACAAGTGTACAGCAGGGCATATGTCTAAGATGTATCAATATAGTTATATTCACTGTCATGTTGCAGTCAGAAGCATTATTTTGGGCAGTATTGCTTGTTAGGAAAGGTGCATGCTGCTAGAATCAAAACTCACACTTGCTTCTTGCAAAGCTCTTCAGCATAAACCTTTGTGCAATGCAGATCTTGGACTTTGGCCTGGCACGCCATGCTGAGGTGGAAATGACTGGGTATGTGGCCACGCGCTGGTATCGAGCACCGGAGATCATGCTCAACTGGATGCACTACAACCAGACAGGTGTGTTACTGGAAAAATGGGCCTTTTTTGTGTCGCTGTTAACATTTCTTCTGTAAAATTATCATTGATCAAACTTACTTCCCCAAATACTTACTTCCAATAGTCTGAATGCAAGTAAAAATTGGAGAAAACTTGTTTTATTCAGGCAGTGCTTCTCTTCGTTTAGGAAGCATAAGAGCAAAGTTCTTCATGTGCCACTCTAGCCTCAACCATGACAGGTGCCAAGGCCATAGTATCTGGCGAAGTTGATGGGGTAAAAATGGAAGCATGAACTATGTGGCAATGCATTGAGCCACTGCACTTTGTAAACTGCTATTACCACCTCCATGTGAGATAACTTGAAAGATGACACTATGTATGGGCTAGAATTATGTGACAAAATTACAGGATCTGGTGTTCATGTCCAAAGACAAAGCTCCTATCTTGTGCAGCTAGGGAAGCTCCAGCTGCAACGACTACCTTGAAGTTCAATAAGAGATGTTCAAGCTTTGTGCACATTCTTTGAGATACAGTGTACTGCCATCTGAATAACTTGTCACCCTGGGTCAGTCACAGAACCAAAGGCGAATCCAGAGAATGTCTCCAATGCAAGACAGTGGAGGTGGAGGCATCGGTTGCTCAGGTTGAAGACTGGGCGTGTTGGTAAAGCATGAGTAGTGTGTACAGACGGTTTTATGCAGTGGCGCATGGGCATGTCCATGTTTGATCTTGTGACCATAACTGGCCTTCCCCCAGCCAGTTGCCCTAGCCAGTGCATTAGGCCAGCAAAGTGGCCGTGGCCATATCATGCACATTTGAAGCCAACATGGCAGCATCAATGCTGACGGGATCACTTGATTCTATCCAAACTCGCTCTTGCTACTCCCTCACTGCCTTCACAGCAATAAATGGTGAAATTGGCTGTTGCTTCATATCATTGAATGCTGGTGACAAAGCATCAGGTTGGTGCTGTCTTTATTACTTAGATTAGCTGTACTTGTTTAGCCATGTCTGTCAAGCCTCATCTCCGAGTACTTCAAAATTAATCTTGAAAACACCACAAAATACCCACGAATATGCTGTAAAAGCTTCAAGACATAAATGTAAAGCAAATAAATTCATACCTCGCAAAGTTACAGACCACACAGTGCCAGACGAGGCAGTGACAAGTTCGAGGTAGAAGGAAACTGCATCCACAGGTGCTGATTGTTGACTTTTTTGCCACTGCTATCTTCTCGCTCTTACGTGTGTGCGGGAAAATGCCCTGGGGATGCTGAGCAGAAGACGTGACGTGAACAGAGACATATTGAGCAGCATTGCAAGAGGCCACAGCATGGAGACTGGCCGTGGTAGGGGACTGCCACGGTGCGGTGGTGGCGCCATCTAGTTCTGATTAAACAAACTAGCTGCAGAAAATTGTGTATAGAGCAACTGATCGACAAGGTGCAAGATAGAAGCACACAACAAATTGTTTTTTGCGTGTATATCTATTTTATGTCTTGTTCATCAATTACGCTACAAAATCTGCAAGAGGCATTGCCACACTGTTAATAGAGTGCTGCTCCTTTGTGGCTAAGCTCTCAAGGGCTGGGACAGGACCAACCTAAGTATCTGTCTGTGTAAAGGGTGCATTGTTGTATGATTTCGCCAAGTGTCATGGAAATTTAGTGGTGCATAGAAGAATACAGAGGTTTATAACAAAAGACCAGACTTTACACAAATACCAATTTTGTTCCTTGTGTTTCTATCGTGCTACTTTGGTATGTAAGCATGAATTACAGGGGGATAAGGGCTTTTATAGGAATTTGCCTATTCATGGTGTTCATGCCTGAATGCCGATAAGTGCCTATAAATGCTTTTTTTCGATATCGGCGTTTCCATCAATACTATTTAAGCACAAATTTCATTTTCAAGCGTGGTTTGAGACCGTTATGAAGTCGCAGGGCAATATTGACCTTTCCAAACTCTACGAGATTCAACAAAGTCTTTCTGTTCTTCAACCAAGTTCCAAAAAATACTTACTAGCAGCAGTGAAATGGAACGCTGCACAAGTGGTTGGAGGAGGAGAGGTTGAAGAGAGGAGAAGACGCTATTTCCGCAGCCCTAAATGGAAGTGCATTTCAGCGTCTGCATGGGAATTGGGAGAGAGAAGTAAACATATGACAAGGAGGGCCATAAACAAGGATGCAGTGAGTAGCTCCTAGAGACGTTTGTACAGTGCCCCAAAGGCATTGAACGGCTGCCCTGAGAACATGTATGTGGCGGTGGGAAGGGAACAAGACCTCTCTTTTTGTAGCCGTGGACAGGTGAAGAACGAATGGGAAACCGTCAAAAGCCGTCAGGAGAAAGAAGAATGTAAATTAAATTAAAGACAAAATTTGGACCATCTTCCTGAAGGGAACCCTGATTGCATGCAAAGTAGCAGGGGTGCGCACAGCATTGACTCAGTTGAAACGGGCGTCGACGCGTGTGCTGGGAGAACAGTCTGAAGCGAAACTTGGTGTAGAGTTTGCAGACAAATGAGCCGAAAGAGTGTTCCACTCGACATGCGGTGGAGGCGGGCGGGTGATGAAGAGGGTGAAGTGTGTTGAGAGTGGGCGGAGGAGCGGTCAGCTGCCAGCGGGCTGCCTGTGAGGGAGAGAGCAAGGTCAACGTACACTTGTGAGGGAAGCATGCGAGGGGAGCAGGGACTTCAATGCACAGCTGCTGTGTGACCTAGTTGGCACCGCTCCAACACCTGCTGCGAGAGGAACATGTTGCGGCACATTCATACGGACGCGCGTACGTACGGCATTACACACGTGAGTCGAACAGCTGCTTCGCATCTAAAAGTGTGACGCGTATACCGCTTTGATTTTGTAATTTACTTCTTAAAGGGCCCCTCATCACACCACATAAAAAAATTGTAGATAGGCACTGGAAGTTATTAATAGCGTAGCATGTAAATAATAGCGTAGCATGTAACAGAGGACAAAGGAAGGGAGTAAGAGAAGGGCTGCCCTTTGTCTTTTTGTTGTCGTGTGGTCACGTTTTTGATGTGCTATGTTATTAGTTATGTATCACCAACACGCCCAACTTCATACTTTTGTCAACTAGAAGCTGTGGCCTGCCCAATGAAGAGTGTTGTATAATCATGATTTTTCTAATTGAATCATTATGAGCCATAAAACTATGATGTAAGGAGGCAAGCTTGCAACCGTTGCCCTTTGCCCCGTGTAGTCATCGCAAGCCCATTGTCTTCCCTGCTCTTTTCGGTATCAGAGTAGAAAAATCACATGACGGCATACGTGTCAATATTTCATGCGCACGCAAGATCAAGTGTGCATGACGTGCCTGAGCCTGCTCACCCACACACCATCAATGCTGTGTTGTTTGGGCGTTTTTGGTAGTGTATATTGCCTTTATCTGAGGGATGGATTCCTCAGTGTGGATACGTTTTGAGAGGCTGGCATGGATCTTGTATCCTTACCACGATACACCACATCTGACCTTTGAAACGTCTGTCAGAGACGATGAACCAAAAACATGCCAAGCGAGGTCAGGATGACACAATACGGGAATGGCGAGAAGACGAACGCATGGTAAGTGGAGGCCGGTTAGCGTATTGCATCTCGCTGCGATTTGAAAAGAAAAGATAAATAAAAACGTGCTTATATTTCATTAGTTGGTGTTATTTCTCACCGCTTTCATTAATCTGCTCTACAACAGATTACTACTCTTATCAACATCATCATCAGCCTGACTACACCCACTGCAGGACGTAGTCAGGCTCTCTCACTAGGCTTATGGAAATAGTGAATTTTAGGTTCGAAGCGAATAGTGATTTTGTTATTGTCTGTTTATTAGGCTTGTGAAAATATTTTAGCACCTTGAATATTCAAACATATATTATAGTGTTTTAATTTGCTTCAAGTCAAGTTTAAATTAATAAAAATTTTGGGGTGTTTGAAATAAACGAGGCATCTACAGTCTGTATGTATGACTTCTGTAAAGATGCTTTTATTACAGGAGTGCTGTATTGTGAACATGCCTGTCCAAGAAAAATCTGCCTGCCCCACTTCCTAGTTAAATGAACATAATATCATCACATAGATTCTTCTTTTTTAAGTTGTGACGCTAGCGTTTATGCTCAAGGTATAGTAAACTTCAAAATGTAATATATTTTACTGGTTATGACTTGCGTTCTATCATATAGTCAATTCCTGCTACTATTCAAAGTTGCTCCCGCTTCCCTTGAACCAAAAAAGAACAGAATTTGTGCATGCATTCATTAAATAAAGAAACATTGTGAATGTTAGTTTAGTCATGACAAATATACTCATTAGTATGTGATACATACTAATCGAATTCAATTTGGAATTGTTCTAGCCAAATTACTAATCTCTTCAAATTTGCTTCGAACCTGAAATTTATTATTTGCACAAGGCTAGTGAAAAGCATGGCTGCAAATTTGTGTTTGTGTGAATCACAATGAGTGTGCATAAGTGAACTTTCTGTAGTCATTACTGAGCCAGCTGTGGCGCTCTTGCAGTGGACATTTGGTCGGTGGGGTGCATCATGGCCGAGCTCATCACGGGCAAGACGCTGTTTCCAGGCAACGACCGTATCCTTTGATGCTTGCTATTGGTAAAAGTGGTGAGTAAGTTGCTTCATGCTGCACATCTGAAGCAGGTGCTGTTGATGTGAGCACTTTGTATGTTGTTGATTTTGTCCTCCCAAGTTGTGGGCAAAATCTTGGAAGCAGTAATGACGCACTGCGGCAGAATAGTGCTTTCACCACTATTTTCACAAAGCCAGTGTAGTTTTTGTGTTTAGCCCAGTGGGCTTGTAGTTAGAGCATGCAGGACGACAACAGTGGCACCAGTTCCTCTTTTTTTACCCCTAGCTGTGCCAAAACTTAAAATTTTTTTGATATTGTACCACAATATGAAAAAATATGAAGAAACCACAAGACCTAATTGGCCTGGAAAATTTGCTAGTTGTGCTCATTTTAGTAAGAACTAGGGGACACATTGGCCATCTACGCTGTGTAGATCATCATCCAATGGAATCCAAGCCTGCATAAAAGGGTAAAAAAGTGTAGCCATATCTTCTGTTTAACTCCCGAAAACATTTTTTCTGTTGGTTTTACTGCTACTCCACATGGACATTATCACGGGCTATTGTGGGAGCCAGTGCACACGATGGATGCTGTCACTTCAGGGGCCCGGCTGCCTTGAATCTTCTTACTCTGAGAGGCAACAAGTCGAGTGCTACTTGCAATTAAAAGGTATTTTAGTCACTTGACCGTGCTGTTTTCTGAGAGTATTTCTCTCTAAAAAGTTTTTTGCAACTTGATGTTGCAAGACCATGTGTCTAAATGTCTGTGCCAGAGCCAGTATCATGGAATCCTGAATTCTCTGCTCAGCTTTGTCTATTTTGGTGGTTTAAGGGTGCCAGTCGGAATAAAAATTACAGAATTCTTTTCAAAGGAAATTCGGTCTCACATGTTTGACTCAATATCGGCTGGCTCAACGCTTTTCCGTATTCTGCTGAATAAGCAGCTTGGCGTACTTTCTGTTTTCCCGGCTCCCTCAAAGTTCACTCAAGTGCAGTGCGGGTGAAAAAGGGCTTTCACAAAGATTATGTACAAATCTGAAGACTTTTTTTCTGAACATGCTCACATGTATCTTTTATATGATGACGATAGGGTCACAATGTAATTAATGAATACAGTTGAACATTGTTATAACTAGCTGTCGCCTAGTGAATTATCAATTGAGGTGATATAAATATCAGTGTTCGTTAGTCGTAGTTCATTTGAGCCATATTTATTTCTTTTGTAATACAACAGAACAAATGTACATACCGTACTTGTTGCATGAATGCATGTGGCAAAAAAAAAATGTGCATGCTGACACACTGAGCACCAATCTTAGATAGCGATTGGTGCAGTCCTAGCCAGCACGCTTATTCATTTAGCTATATGCACTGTCGTGATGCGTGGCAAGATGTTGCAGATGTGAGTGGATACATTTTTTCAGCTTTGTATGCATTAGATGCCAGGAATATGAGACAGCAGAAAGAACACACGAAAAAGCTGTATCAGGTGGTAATACAGTAAAACCTCGATTTATTTTTTAAGAAACTTGGGGAATAAGCATGGAATCTGTACGATTTTAATTGACTAAACATCAAAGCTGACAAGCCCATATTGAGGTGCAAGGGCAACACACAGTTAAAGAATAAACGTGGAGGGACTTCTTGCTTTTGAAGTTTCTGGCATCTCGCCGGAAGCGAGAGTTCAGCCTGCTAGTTCCAGTCCTGACAAAAAGGAACCTCATGTTCGCGTGTGTTCAAATCGAGACAACCTAAATATTACAAAATTGAATATTGCAGCCCGAATATTGCAGTATCGCAAGGCTCTAAGGTTTAAAGGCAGCTATAAACAGCAGCTTGCAAGCTGAGAAGCTACTTGGAGTGACACGCGACACGCAGAACTGCTGGAGCAGACGAGACAGCCCTCTTGTGCAAAGCGTCATTCTGCGTAGTGCTGTAAAAGGCCTGCAGGCAAAGACCACATACTTCTTCAAATAAATGTGCATGCAGCTCTGTTTTGTCTAGTGAACATTGATCTGTTGCAACTTCACCTTCTCGTTTTCAAGTCTATTTAGCTTTAAATGTCATAAGGTGATGTGCTAGGATTTGCTGGTTTATAGTGAGCTTGAAGCCTGGAATAAACAGTTCTTTTATCTAGGATTGCTGTGTGAGCCATTGGCAATTTGTTAGAGGCGATTTTTACTGTACTGCAACAATATACTGTTGGATATACTGAATTAGTTTATGGGCCCTATGCAGCTTTTTTGTGGTAAGGTCTCACTGTAAAGGCCTAATTAGTTATCTGTGGCATTACCTAATGACATCTAAATGCAAAAAGCTGCAACAGAGATCTGTCTGGCTGGGTAAAAGAATTGTGTATGTTGAACTGGCACAAGCGTTGCCCATGTGTAGAATATTTTACATGATCAGGCATTGTTGTGTCTCATAACAACTTATGTCAGAGTGGAAGGGCAGGGCTTGTCCAAAACATCAGTACTGAATGTCATGAGTATGTGAATGATTGCAAAAGAGGAAGTAGATGAGAATAAATAAAAAGGTATCAACAAAGGTATATGAAATAAAGAAGATTGAACACTGCAGAAGGTGGAAAAGAACACATTAAAGAAGAGGTTAAAGAAGGGGCACGAGAGGTGACATGGCCAGTAGAGAGAAGAGGAAAAAGAAGGCCGTTTGGAACGGGAAGAGGTGTGGACGTGCAATGGTCGCGGCAAGGCGTTTACTGCAAGTTCGTCAGCAGAGCTTCTGGTAAAGTGCTCCAGTCCTCGCAGCAACGCACTGTGAGTTGGAGGAGGAGGGCGATCAGCTCAGCCCAGCGAGACATTGCTTCAGGAGTGGCGTAGAGGTTCGGCGGCTAAGCTCCATGGGCCGGGCTCCTGAGGACGAGCGAGACGTGTATTTGACGCAACGGTTGCCGGATACTACGAGAACCGGACCAGTGTCCTAAAGATGCATCAGACGGTCTTGCTCCAGTGACGCTTCGTGCAACAGAGGCATGACGGGACTTTGACCGGAAACAGGAGCCGCTACGCTAGGGTCAGCAAGCCGTATTGAAACTAAATATTTTTTTGTATCTTTTGGGGGCATAGGGTGTGCTAGGGACCTTTGCTTATATTGTTGGATTTTCACCACTTGTTGTGTACATAGCTTAAATTTTTGTCGCACAAAGAATTTTTTATCATCCAAAGTGTTTTTGTTTTGTTTACCATCTGAAGACCATGACACTGAAGGCAGCTGGTGCAGAAACCTAGTCGTACACAGTCGTGCTGTGCACGTGTTAATTACCCCTTTCAGTCGCTCGAGTAATGGCAGCTACGATGAGTTCTTGGCCGGGTCAGCAGGCAAAACTTTATGGCCACACCAGCCGCAGAGCTCGAAGATCGTGTAGAGGGATGGTCGGCTCTGTTTATAAAACAAAGCGTGAGGCTTACTCCTTTGATCGATTCCCGAGGATGAAAGAGTTGCGGGTGAAGGGAGGTTCGTTCGCACTGAGTGTCTGCGATTGCGCCAGTGTTAAGCAAAGGTCCCAATACTCTGTGCAGCGCTTGAGACAACTATACCTTTGGTCTTTTTCATGTTGCCCAAAGGAAAGGTGCAGGTGATGCAAAAGTTTAGTTTTCGCCAGGCTCTTCATAAGGATCACAAATCAGAAGCCCTTCATGAGACAGGTGTTTTTAGTTGTACCTACAGTATGCGGACCACTAAAACACCATATTTTTTTTATTAAGCATATCCATGGCATTAAAGGAGCACTGTGACGTTTCGGGAATATTATTTCAATAATTGATTCATGTTTCCAACAATGTGTTTTGGCTACGCACAGTTTTTTACAGCTGACAGAAATTTGAGGCACTCTCCCAACGTGAAATCAACTCGCAGTGATCCAACAATGCCTAAAGGAAGGCTCAATCTCAAAACATAGTTGATCTCAGTGCATGCTTCTTTGTCATTGTGTATAAGCCATACTTGAAGTGCAGTGCCAGACATGGTCATAGTAGCAATGAAATTGCTCGTGAACAAAGGAGCTACCTATGTGCGTCTTCAGTCACGTTGTACGATCCTGAGATGCACTTGCTTGAACCACCAATGTATCTTAAAAGAATCTTGACCCATGCTTGTTCAGAGCATGATACCTAGGTGTTATGGTTAGAATTTGTTGCTGGGCTAGTTGGTAACTCATCATAATGAAGATAGTTATTGCATCTGAGAAAATTCTCTCGAAAAGTACTCAAAATCACACATAAATCTGTCCGCTCAAGAACACCCTAATACACACAGGGCTTACCACCAACTGATTGATTGTGCATGACCGGTCGCCATATGTGCCTACAAAATGGTGCGCATAAGCAATGATTCACCGCGCGATTTAATCAAGAGGAGGGGTGAGTTCACTCGGTTACAGTGGAATATTGGAAAATGGCTGATATTCGTGTGGATGGGACGAAGGTAGGTAAGGCAACACAAACGCTAACTCTGAACTGGTGATTTATTAAAATATACAGATCATTTAAACATTCACGATGAATGTAAAATGCATAAAGTAGCTTGCAAGAGAACACAGCAATGCAAATAGAAAAAAATTCAAGCTCGAAAAACTACACGGCTGTGACAAAACGGCAAGTCAGATGAACATGCTATCGATTACGTTACTTTTTTTTTCGTCAAAAAAATAAAAAACGACATTTGGCTGATGAATGACTCTCTCGCTTTATAATGTCAAAGGCTTCCATGAGTTCTGTTGTCATTGTGTGTGAAGAGCACCGCTGTATCTTCATTCGGTCCGTTTGCACGCTGTTTTTTTTCCCAGATTGTATCATCACCTAGGCCGACTTTCAGTCTTACTGAGGATTCAAAGACAATAAGCCTGAAAGAGGATGCATCATGGATCTTCAGGGTTCAGATGCTACAAAATGTTGAGAAGAGACTGCAAAAGGGTCTAAAATATGCAGGTTTACACACGTGAGGGGGGGGGGGGGGAGGCAAGCAGGGTTTATGAGCGAAGGTCAG